CCTTAGCAAAGCGCATCCCAGGCTGCATAGCCGCACTACCCTACCCAACCATACCACACATAAACATGACACTACCCCCGGGGTTTACACAGACGAGCCGGCGAAGCAAGAAGAGCGCCAGAAGAAAGGGCCCTAGCCGGCGGGGCCCAGCCAGGACAAAAGGAGGTCCCACAAAGCGCCTACACCGGCCGCATTTGCGGTCGGGGTAGACGACGGATGGGGCCCACCTACGAAGGCTGTCCAGGCCTACACGAGATGAGGCAGGATAAAGAGGGATAATCCCCCTCGATCCCAAATCATTGAGGCCAATTTCTAGCCATAGAATAATGGCGGCGGTTAATTTTGCAAAAATGGGGAACGTGCTTGTAACGTAACCTGGTGTCTTCGAACGAAATTTAAAATTTTGATACTGTTCTTAGCTGTGTTTGTGCCGTTTTCCTTTTATTGGAGTTCATAGGTTCAAAATGTTAGCTGCAATATTTACTGTTATTCGTAACTTTAACAATCTGTGTCTTCGATATTTTTTTATTTTTAGCCACAAAATTAAGATTTGTAATGACAACTACGACGTCATAACCTCAAATATTTTCAGGGTTTCAAAACATCAAAAAATTTATGTGTACGTATCAGGGGAAAGGGGGAGCAACCTTGAGTCTAAAAAAATTGCAGTAACTTTATTCAAATCGGATACAGGGTTTTATGCTCTGAGTTGCTCTAATAGCTACAATCTTTGTTAAAACGAAAACACCTATGTAGTTAATAATATAACCTTACATTCATTACACAGCAGTTATGTTATTTTAATTTACTCGATTACTCTTTTGTATTCCAATTGCTAATGTAAATAAACTTTAAATTTAATTTTTATATAGTAATATAAGTGAAGTAATAAAAATGGTACAGAAAGCATTATTTGTCTGTTTAGGTAGACTGTAGGTACGTATATTTAAAGATAAATAAATGCCTAATATTCTTTTCAGGCAATATTTGTCGTTCTCCGATAGCTGATGCTATTTTTCAACATTTACTGAAAGAAAGAGGAATAGCAGATCAATGGGAAGTTGATAGTGCAGGTATAGGAGGATGGCATGCAGGGAATCGTCCAGACTCTCGTGCTAGAAACGTTTTAAAGAAGTATAACATAGAATACAATGGACGTGCCAGACAGGTATGTATTTTTTTTGCTATTTTTGGTACAGATATATTGCAACAAGTAAAGTTGAAGTATATGTACATATGTCATTTTCCAATATCTTTACCTTTAATTTAAATGAATTGCATGACGGGAATTGCTGTGTAATGGTAGAGCTAAGATATCAGTACATAATGTTTGGCAAAAAGTGCACAAATTTTAAGCGGCTATTCCGCAACTAAAATTAAAGAGTTGTAATTTAAATTTTGATCTAAAAGTGTTGAAAACAAAAAATTATTTCACAAACGTGTAATGATCTTTCACAAAATTTGATATAGTACTTAATTAGTACTTGCACAACATACCTTTCATAAGCGGAAATGATGCGAATAAAAAAGTTATTAGTATATTTTTGTAATATTTATTAACAGATATGTAACCATCTTATAATAAAAAATCTCATCAACCTTTGACATATCCTATTTTTTATCGTTGCAAAAAATCCGTGAATCGGCCCAATTGGTGGTTCTCTGCCTAGCCAATTCCACCAAGTATTATTGGCCCTCCTGGGATTGGACCTCGGATCTATTGGTTGATTCGTTTGAGGCACCAGTTGTCTATAGAATTCGCTTAATCTAGCTTGCAAATTTTGAAATACATCGCTATATATAGGATTATTTACGATATTGGTCGTTTCGCAAGGATCGCTGTAGATGTCGAACAAACAGAACCCTCTGCACACAAAATTCGGAGTGAAATTTCTGTCTCTACACCAACTCATGTCTAGTAGACGTCTCATGTTGAAAATGTCTTGAGGGAAAAGCGGCGATTGATCCCCTATGGTTTGAATGGCTTGATTGGCTAGGCTGTTTATAATCAGTTGTATATTGTAAGGTGGATTTTCGGGGCCTCTCCCTGTTTCGCCGTAATACTGGTCATATAAGCCGTTTCGGTAGGTCCCTAAAAATAATAGCGAGTTTTAATTTAAATTAATTTTTGAGGTTCAATACATACCATTTACTAGTTTATATCGTCCTTCATATCCTAAAATTCCGGACTGATTTTCAAATTCATCGATATTAAGTAATATTTCGGTCCTTGTGGTAGTTAAATTCTTCGATATAACGTCCCATTGGTTTATTCCGTCAATGTTGCCAAGATCTCTCACGTCACCACCTGTGTGATAGTTTTGTAAATTACTCGTAATTCATAAGGTATAAAATAGATTTAAAAAACATTACCTGCAGCGTGATATAAAGTGGGAAGCCAGTCACTGACGTGTATCAGCTGTTTGTTGATATAGCCCCTCTTTTCCAGCAGTGGACTATACAGTACAGCTGACCCTCGTACACCTCCTTCAAATAATGTGAATTTTAACTGAAACATATGCACTATTTAAAGAAAATGTGCCGGCTCACAAATATTTTGTGTGAATGAATATCTAACTGAAAAAATTTATTTACCAGATGTTACTTACTCCTCTGAACGGCCAAGAAGATCCATAATTTTGAAATAATCCGACTGATTGCGCCCCGTTGTCAGAGAAAAATAGTATTATGGAATTTCGCAACATATCTTTTTGCGCAAGTTTATTCACGATCTGGCCCACTGTGTTATCCATAATGTTAACTACGTCTAAAAAAAAGAAATATGTACTTTTGGTAATATTTGTATATAGGTTATTGTCGCAGCAGTAGATAGTTTAAAACTGCACTTTTATAGTATCAGTGAAGGAAAATAAATGTATGAAACAGGAAATTGAAGTTTCTGCAATTTTTTCTAAAAGAAAATGGATTTAGGACAAGACACGAAACTGATGTTCCATCTAAAATATAGTTTATTGTCCACAAAAGAAAATTGAAAGCTGAAATTTGTTTTATTAGTTTTTAGAAAAGTTCATATTTGTTCTAACAATATATTTTTTTAAAAGTTGCGTTAAATGAGGTTAAGATAGGTTAGGTTAAAGTAAAAATTTTAAATTTGAAATTTTTGGGGCAAAAACATTTAAAGAAACTTGATTTCCTCTTGCATTACCTGCGTATCTCCTTCTCTGTGGAACTCTGATGTAGTTGTAAATTTGGTTAGTCCTCGTAATATTCGGAACACCCAGCTCCGTCCCATTCCTTCCAGTGTGTGCAGCAAGATGTGTGACCAGCAAAAATAAGGGTTCGTCCGTGTTATGTCTGTCGATTATTTCTAGAGACTGATTTGCAAACAACTCAGTGGCGTATCGTCCCGCGAACTGATACTGCGGTAACAGATTGTGATGCAAATCGAATCCCGTGAATCTCTTAAAAAAAGGTACAAATATTTGTCAGGACACGTAAATGTATGTTTTCGTTCATGGTATAGAATTTCGCTTACTGTAACGTTATCCGGTAGCACAGGGGAAGTAATTGTGTAATCAAAGTAACCGACGTAGCCGTTCCAATATCCAAAATGTGTGTCGAAACCTCTGCCGGTTGGCGTTACCCTTTCGTAGGCAAAACCCAGGTGCCATTTTCCTACCATGTGGGTGCGGTATCCTAATTGCTTTAATCTTTCTGGAAGGATAGCCATGTCGAGTGGTATATATCTATTCTCTCCAGCTTGTAGTGGTGTTCCTTGCAACCCTGCAAGCGAAATTTTAATTAAAACTTAATCCACAATTTAGACACCTTTAGTGAAAATGGTGTAAAAACTTGGAATCGGGCATTTTCGAGAGTGAGAAATCGAATATAAAGTTAATATTTAGTTATTTTGTAGCATATTTTATCTTTTTTCTTAATATTTCTATGCAGAGCTGCCTCTGGATTTCAAATAAATAATTTGTCAGGCTGATTAATTTTAAGGGAAAGGGGTATACTTGTTCGATATTGATAAATCTTTTCGATTTTGAGATATTCCCATTTTTAATATTTGATGACGGCAAGTGCTTTCCAACCACTAATCTGCTTAGGTTTCGTCTTGAGAAACTGATGCCGATGAAGATAGAAAGCGAACTGTGTGCTGTTATTAGCGTCAGCTGCAAAAGACAACCTACCTCGATTAGTGCTGAAATAATATTAGTAGTGATCGGAAAGCGTCAGCCTTTAAAGATACAACTGCACATATTTTGAGATACGCAAATCGATATAGAACGGGATGGAGATACAGGAAGCGGGTAATCCATAGTAAAAGTATGCTCACCACGCCACTACTTTGCCATTGCCCATCCTACCCTCAGGACTCAAATGAATTCGGTTTACCTGTATGTGGATTTACTGACAAAGTTTTACCTGATCTTATGGGGTAGTTCCCTGTTAGTAGGGCTGCTCTGGACGGCGAGCATGTTTGTTGAGTATAATACTTGTCTAAAATGACACCGTTGTATCCTAGGGCGTCGATGTTTGGCGTAGGGAATTGATTTGATCCGTGAAGTCCAAAATCGTTCCATCCCTTGAATAAAAAGGAAAAAAAAATCATTTAAAAAGCATAACTGTATAGTACCGTTTTTAAAATTTAGTAACATACATTTTTTTTTATTTGGACACATTTTAAAACATTTCATATTTCATTCTTAAACTTTTTTTTCACATCTTGAAAAGTACTAGAGAGAATAGAGCGACTCATGTGGTGTACTGTCCTGTTAATTAAAATTAAACTTTTAAGTAGGATCCTGGGGACTGCACTTCAATGTAACAAATATCCGTAACGTTTTCATATTGTTATTTTCAACAATGTGTATTTTTTTCCGGATTTAAGGAAGGAAAAAAAACAAAAACCTTGAGAAAAAGGTGGTTAGTTAAAAAATAAATTAATTACTCAGGGGTTTTTACACTTCATGATGCTGTGACTAATACAGTTCAGTATGTGGTTAAATTTATGTGCAAGGTGTGTTAAATTCATTGAACAATATTTCTGTTATTGTTCGTGGGGTACCTACATGCTGTTTAATAATACAAAAATATTTTAGGTAAAACTCAATTACTTTCAATCAGCTTTTAAATTCAAAACGATAGATGCAGAAAACAAGATAGATGTATGCAATAGAACCTTATTATTTTTTAATATCGTGTATTTTAAAGAGGTTATACTTATTTTAAATATCCGCCAAATTTTGTACTTGCTTTCGGATATGCATATATACATGCTGATAAAATTTGAACATAGTACGCTAAGTTTTATTAAAAATGTATCTTTTTCTACTCATTTTTCTAATGTTTACTTGTATTATGGCGGCATATATGAATAATATATTGTATGATACTTATTACTATTACATACATAATGTATTAGTAATTCAACAACCTTGATCACTATATAGATATTAAATTACTTTATTGTTTATTATTATAAACAAATTAAGTTTGTAACGAAGTAGCCTTAGAAAAAATGAATAAACGATTAGAAGGATCATATCTATACGATAGCACGTTTAGCAATAATGAGTATATTCAAAAAAGGTTTTTTCCAAGGTCGTATTGCTTAAGATTTCCCTCATAAGTGAATTTTGGTTTGGTTCTAGATAATTGTGAAATGTCAAACGAAGTGTGTTTTTGGTGATTGTATTATGAATTGGTTTATTTTTTGCTGTTGGAAGATTTCATTGGTTTTTACTGAATTATTGCATCAACCGAATTAATAAAGAATTGTTGTATTCCAACTGTAAGAAATTTGATTGCTTTGTCTTTTAACAAAATACAAATGGATAGTTTATGTATTTATCAGAACCACATAAAAAAATTATTTGAGATAAATTACATAATTCATAAACATCGCTTGATCAAATACGTAAAGTAAAGATTCCTTGAATATGACAACTAAAAGAGAAAAGTTCACCTTGTATATATGCCAATAATTGTAAAATTGCCACTATTTTGAATAATAGGAAACTTGCATGAAAATTTAACTTCTTTTAGAACGACAACAACTAAGAGAGGTAAAAAAAATATATTTCCTTAATGCCATAAATCCATTGTAAGTGATTAAAATTATGTGAAAATTTAAATTTTGTCACGTGATCGAGAACGCATTGTGACGTCATTTAGTGCGACCGAGAACATAGTCTCCTTCTCGGTCGTCTGTCATCTAGTTTAATAATTCCTATGCCAATGAGACTGAACCTCCTCGAGGCACAATTAATTTCGCTTTTTCTTGTTACTTATTATGCTCGTGCTGTCTAATCGTCCAGTTACTGCCATTCATATGCTCCATTATCGATCACACTAAATGACGTCACGCAAACACCCGTTTAAAACATTTTTGCACACCAAACTTTAATAATTATTAATTAACAATCTCTAAGAGATTTCTAATATTTCGACTATATGTTTACTTTTAGACATTAAAAAATATATATGCAAGTTGATTTCTTTTTCGTTTTCTCCTATTTTTCTGTTGAGATTTCTTTAATGGTAGATATTTACTAAAAATTTTTCGCAAATACACAACTTGTCATGACACCTGAACACCAAACATAATAATTTGTATTGAATATAAAATTTGTTTAGTATAATTGATATACAAGATATGCTTTAGCCACATACAATGTAATTAAAGTAAATACTGGGAACAGTACTTTGTACTGTAATTAACTGCAGAGAACCAAAGTCGATGTTCGATCACACTGTTTGATGTTTCCGCCAATTCTCAAGGACGATCTTCGGCTTCTTTAAATTTCGGCGATCCGTGATGTTGTTTTGACATGATTAGGTTTCTGGATTTATGTTCTTCATATCGTCCATTGGGCATGGTTTGATTTTTGTAGATTTCTTACTGTTTCACTGAAAACATCGACGATTTTTTGGGCGATCCGCAGCGATCTTTTGCGGTCGCTTTGCCAACGTTGTCCACTCAAGTTTGGTGCGTCTGGAGCTGTTTTTTTGCTCTATTGACAACACCTGCGGTTGCATTTAAAACATCGGTGAAAATTTATCGCTACGCCGAATATTGAATTATGTCAATTCACAAAATATTTTTAGGACTATCGAAAAAATTGTATGTTCAACTCAGCAGAAAAATAAATTGACTGCCATGGCTGGTTTGGTAGAAATTACCGGAGTCAGTCTCGAATTTTGCTGCCTAGTTAAACAAATTATTGTCACACTTTCATCTTTTGAGTCAACGTTTTAATAACTTTTTTAATATAATTTTATCAGTGTGTTAAGTTAACAGAAATGAAACATAGGAATTATTTTTCCCTTAAAATAATAATTTAAAGAATTACCTACTATCTTTTTTATTAGAACATTCAGAACTTCTAGTTTATCTTTTTATCTGTTGGAATGCCTCGATCCTTATAAATGGATGAATAAATAAATAAACTTTGTATTCAAAGTTAAGCTTTCAAAGCAAATTGTCAATATGTCAAAAAAATTAAATGTTAATTAGTTTTCCCACTGGTTTGCGGATTTGTCTATTATGTTTCACGTAGCAGTAAATAGATATGTATTTGTAGTCAATTTTACGTCAATTAACACACAAAAAATGCTATACTAGACTGGAGGAAGTAATAGTAACGGAATAATTTCAAAAGAAAATTCATTTTTGTCCACATTGTCTGCGGTTACCATAAGGAATTGGATAAATTGGGTTGAAGGTAATAAACGCCATAGTGTATTGTATTGTTAATTGATCAGGTTTTATCATGCATTTACGAGTATGTCAATACAAGAAGTAAATTGATTAAATACGAACAAATATATACAGGGTGTTCCGTTCGTGTTTCAAAAAAACTTGTGTGTAAGTTCCTCATAGGAAAATAATGTAACGTTTTTTTCTTAGACGCCCTGTTTTCGAGATACAGTGTGTTGAAGTTGTTACTTTCCAAATGGTTTTTCTTAATTATCTTTAAATCGGCGAAAGATAAAAACTTCAAAATTTGTACACGATTAAACATCAACTGGACGTTAAGAATAGTTTCTTTCTGAAAAGCACTGTTGCCGATACAGGTAATTGGAGGGGTACAATCGAAAAAAAAATATGTTAAAAGTCAAAATTTGTAACATTTTTAAACCGTTTTGTAAACTCTAAAGTATACTACAAAAAAAGGTATACCTGTCGAAATTCGGTAGCATGTACAATTTTCGAGAAAAACGAAGTTGCATATTTGTGCGATGCGCAAGGCGATGCTGCCAACCGCATATCACTAAATATCTCCATCAGGGCGTAATTCAAAAAGTTCGGTTATTTTCTGAACAGACCTCGTATTACGAGCAGCTTACGGTTTATCGCGGTCTATACAGCATGTCAAATGCATTGAGAACAAGTTAATCAAATAATAATTTTATGGTCCTAAATCTTAAGAGAATTTTATGTTAAAACAGTGTATTATACACTTTCCACATATAGAGATTTTGTTCTAGGACTCGGTAATTTTCCATCATATTTTTTTTCAAGCTACTTGATTTTTTTTTTAGTACCAATGAAGGGTTTATAAAAAATATATTCTTGTCGCATGTTGCTAGAACGTACTGTGTTAGAGATAGATGCCAAAACATACGGTATTGTCTTGTTTTGAATTAACAGTACTGATAATCTATGAAATAAATTACTATTTATATGATTCTTCTTACTCTCATCTTATAAAGGAGGCATTTTGTTGATACATATCTTTACGACTGTTTTTCTTATTGTAAATTCACAATAATGTTTGGCAAAACGTATTTTTTACACCCTGGGCATATAAAAATAAAATGAAAATAATGAGATAATTTTACCATTTTGGTATTTATTATGCTGTACCAATACAATATTTTTACTATACTATTTGGAAACTGTTAGAAATCGAAAATATTATAGTTTTTATTAACGTTAGCGGTTTACTCTTTAAAACTTATTTAGTTGTGGTTTGTGTTTGTATACAAATTGGGCAAAGTTAGGCAAGATCTAGTTCCAATTTTTCATTTTCATGTCAAATTGAGCATTGTTACATTTAAATAGTACAATATTATTTTAGATTTAGTTGTGCAATCTTAATTATTAATAAATGAGAAAAATTAATATTGTTTTTACAAGTGAGTCAGTGATAAAAGCTAAGATGTATGATATTTTCGGTACAGCAATTTTTCGGTAAAATAAAATTTATACTTATGCTCTGTTATTATTATTTTTACATTGGGCTAGAGTGAAAGCAGAAGCTTATTGTACCGAGTTCTAATCTAATATACAAAAGTTAAATAAATAAAACGTGTAAAAAAAAATAACAACTATTAAAACTAAAATTACGTATGGACCAAATTTAGACAATGATCAAGTCTAGATTTGACGATTGAAGGCTGATATCACATTTTGTGGTAGTAAGTTCGACATGTCAAATACACGATTCAGCAAGAAATATTGACTTGTACAGGTGTGAAACTGTTTCTTCTTTAATATCTCGTTATGAGATCATATATCCTCCAGAGATTTTGGCGTGTTACACGTTTCGTAACAACAGGGAGTGTAATAGTATGCCT